CCAAAAAGTCGACGGCGTGTGTTAAGCATATGATGCTGATCTAACCTACTTGCCGCTTAGATTTCAAGTATTACGAAAGCAGATTTACTGCAAAATCTGTGGCCCAGACCTAAAGGTTTTACACTGTTTATTTTTTCAAATTAGAACAATTATTTGACCTTATAGTAAAAATCAAAAAAGATAATAAGTGTTATAAAAGTATGTTCAAACTTTGAACTTCGTCGACTGACATTATTTATTAAAGATAAATGGAAAGCTTATTTGACTGGACCTTGAACGCTAACGACCACATTTGTCCCTTACTATATAATTAACGAAATGTATTTGGTTCAGTCAAAATAAATAATATGTATTCAAAAACCAGTGTTACAGCGGTGTAAACACATCTAAGCGTGCGTTAATATTTTTAACAAGTATAATTCAGAATTAGAACGCTTTAGAACGAATATCGTTATATTCGTACATCGAGCTTAAGGTATGATTCCACCAGTGTGCTGAACTGTGCGGTACAGTTTTGCACAGATTCATTCAAACAATAACAAATTGTGCGCGAATATTTTAGCTAAGTTCGCGCACAACTTGTGCGCGCACACGTTACACGTAGTAGACTCGTGTCGACTCGAACACACTCGTTCGCGAACTCAAACTTGCATCCGCTACCGTATCGAACACATTTTATTGTGCGCGCACTATGCCAAGTAATTTTTTGAAAGATCAAGAATGTATTACAAAGCACAACGTTTTCTGTCCGTCTATATTAGCAACTGTATGTCGGCAGAAAATCTTCTCAGTGAACAAGTTCTGAACAATGTGCGCGCACAAAAGTTACACACAACATTGCCGGTGGAGATAGAACGTGTTCGCTATTGTTTTGCACAAAATGTTTGTAAAAAAGTGTGTTGCACTCTACATCGGTGGAATCGTACCTTTATAGGATAACATTTTCTCACGCCGCTAGCTTTGCAACCCAAAAAGTTAAACTTCGAGAAACTTCCAGCGTCGTCATCTACAACCTCACGCTAATTCCTGGCTTTTAGCTGCAGCTATTCCTCCGTCGATACATTGGTACCTTAGACATTTTTTTTATTCAATGTGTTTTGGATTATATTTATTATAAGAAAGAAGTGGCTATTTGATTTTTCGTTCCTTGCATCTTTGTACCTTTAAATTGTTACCATACAAGTTTTTAAATTGTAAATTATATAAAGCAAGAGATGACCTTACCTAGGCCAATTTACTGGTCTCTGACCTGGCTGGCTCTAGTAAGCTTTCTAACTACCTCAAGGAGAGAGAGTTAGCGATGAGTTTATCTCGTAAGTCAAAAGAACAGCAGTCGCCCTCTGATATTGTGTCAGAAAATGTCACTGAAAATTAGTAAGTCAAAAAAGTATTCTCAGCAGGACAGCAAGGTGCCTAGGTAACACTGAAAATGTTTAGAAAATGAAAAACGGCTTAATGTAGAAAGTTGCCAATACTTTTATTGTTTTTCGAAGTAATCTCCGTTCCTCTCTACACATCGTCGCATTCGATGGAACCAATATGAAAAGCAGTGGGCCCATTCTTCCTTAGGAGTCTCTTATGGCATTTTCTGTTGCCCGCTTGTGGGTTCTATACAAAAATAATACCTAATAAGCGGAAATTTACATTTAAGTTAGATTCTTTAATAGAACAGCGTCTTCCTTTATGTGTACATTTAATTAGAATATCTGCGAGCAAGGCCATGGTGACAATTTAACATCTAATATTAATACTAAACAATAAAATATGACGGCTATTAAAAATCTATTTAGGAATTTAAATTCAATAAAGTGGCACTACAACTTTGTCGACTGTTAGGGAGTTCGTTCGAGCGAATGGTTAATGCGCACATAGAAAGAAAGTCCATTGATGTACGCTATCGATGTACGCTATCGATGTACGCTATATGTACGGGATCGAACCTACGACCTCAGGAACGAGAGTCGCACGCTGAAGCAACTAGGCCAACCCTGCTCTGCTTAGGAATCTGTTTTAGAGAATTCTCAACGCGCATGGGCGCTACGTACCTAAGTATTTATATGACTCTTGATGAAAAATTTTTGTTTTGTTATCCGGCGTAAGAACAAAGTGGTAGGTTTCTTTTATATGCGTAATTTTGTCAACAGATGGCACTACATGGTGTTTGCATTCGTATAATTAATTTATTTATTTATTTTTATTCGATAACTTATCCGATATTTTATTACTTATTCTACTATTCGGAGCGGAGAAGAATCCACCAAAAAAGAGATAACTAACATCGGTCCAGCCGATCTTGAGTTATAAGTGGTGTAACTAACACGACTTTGTTTTATATATTTAAGACTAGCTGATCCGGCAAACGTCGTTTTGCCATGTTTATTATTTATAATAAAAAATAGGGGTTAATCCTAGAGGGGTGAAAATTAGGGGTTGTATGTATTTTTTAATGCTGTATCATAAAAAAATAAAATCTTAAAAAAAGATAGGGGTGGACGGACTACCTTTAACATTTAGGGGCATGAAAAATAAATGTTGTCCGATTCTCAGTTATACCCAATATGCACACAAAATTTCATGAGAATCGGTCAAGCCGTTTCGGAGGAGTTTAACCACAAACACCGCGACACGAGAATTTTATATATTAGATTTAGATGTATGTTAAGAAAATTGTAAATACTATGTATGTTATTATGATTACTAATAAATCTTTAGTACAATAATGAGTACTCTGAAATGGAGTAGTTAAATAATATTATCATCATGAGAATTATAAATAAGTGTCCTCGTTATGAATCTTGACCTACTCAGATTCTGCGAATATAAAGGTGAAAACGATTTACCCTAAAATATAGAATGTTTTATGGTCAAGAAATGCCATTGCGGTCAGGGCGAACGAATGTGCATATACGTTCTCGGTGCATACAAATATGGAGTGCCAAGTGCTGCAGTAAATCAATAGTTTACATTATTTATAATAGATTAAAGTATTAGATAGGATTTTTAGACATACAGTTAGTTAAGTTTTAGACATTCGGAAGACGTATTAGACATTGTGCATGTATATACTCTGATTTTTAATTCCGTAAAATTCGGACATTTCATAAGTGTTGCTACAAAAATGTTCTCCACCGAAAAAGAACAAATTAGACCCATTTGAAGGCAATAAAAAATAAAATGTGACGTATTTTTCACGTTCTATCTACAAAAAGGTAAATCTAAATATTTACTTCGTCAACCTACTTTGGGAGCGTTCAATGTTACGTAACGAATTTTCGGAGGGGGGGGGTCCTTTTGTAAAACGTTACGATGCGGGGCGGGGATTGAATTACGCGTTATTGTTAATATTATTTTCTACTTATACCACATAATAGTAACTAAAGAGTCACTAGGTGGTCACGAAACGTTTTACTAGACTTGGGTACTGAAAAACGTTAACGGCGAGTTTATGAGGGGGGGGGGCCTCAATAATCTCAAACATTAGAAATTTAATATATTAAATGCTTCTAATGTTACATTTACTGCCAGTTCTCAAATCCAGTGCGTAGAACGGACGAGAATAACTGACAATAAACTCTCCGCCACTCTTTTTAACCGCCAAGTTCTTTGACACAACACATGACCTCTTTAAGTAATAACTATACTAATAAAAAAATATAATAATAATCAATGGCACTACAACCTATTTAGGTCTGGGACTCAGATTTCTGTATCTATTACATGATTATTTGGTAATCTAATAGGCAAGTAGGTGATCAGCCTTCTGTGCCTGACGCACGCCGTTGACGCCGCGTCTAAGGCAAGCCGGTTTCCTCACGATGTTTTCCTTCACCGTTAGAGCGAATGTTAAATGCGCACATAGAAAGAAAGTCCATTGGTGCACAGCCGATGATCGAACCTACGACCTCAGGGATGAGAGTCGCACGCTGAAGCCACTAGGCCAACGCTGTTCACAATAAAAAAAATTATAAACGAAAAAAAACAAAGATTTGTCCTCTACCAGCAGTTGGCATGGGGAAATAGGAGCACGCACTTACATTATCGTGGGAACAACACTCTAAATCTTAAATGGAGACTCGAGAGACCTCTGATATTGTACATAATATTATCACTTAACATCAGATGAGACTGATCTCCGTTTGCACCTTATTCTTTAAAATAAAAAACAAATGATAATTAAGGTCTTTTAGTATAAATGTAAAATAAAACGATTTTTAATAGCGGTGTACCACAAAACACGTTATATGATACCCACTTATTATTATAACCATAGCTATAATCGTATAATCATATTGTTATGATTATACAAAATATATGTATAATATGAAGCGGCTGAAAAAGCTAAAGCATGCAAATACAGGCTCCGAATATGATTTTGTTTCATTCGGTGTTGAGACCCTTGGTCTGTGGGGTCCTAGCGCTATGAGGCTTTTTAAGAAAATAGCAAGAAGGTTAGTCGACATCACAGGAAATCGAAGAGCTGGCAGCTATCTCGGACAAAGATTTAGTCTAGCTATTCAAAGGGGGAACGCTGCCAGTATCATCAAAGGGGCTCCTTTTAATAATATATTTTAGTTATTATATTTTAAGGTTAATGTTTTTCTATTATATTAAAATATATGTAACCAGCAAATATTACGTGATAGTAGCTGACATTTTAATTATGAATTTTGTATTGTTATATATACATCCACTTAAATAAATAGTGAGTTTGGATCCCGACAGCGAAATATGTATTCGCTTCCGATTTATTTATTTGAATCATGGTCTAAGTATATATTATATGCTTCTATAAATCAATCAAGGTAATCAACAATTAGGTCTAAATACCCTAATTATGATTTTAATTACGATAAAGCGTTTTTAAATGTATTAATGTATCATTAAAGAGATAACTACAAGTGAGAATGTCCGTAAATTAACGATTTTTAAAATTATATTTAGAAGTATATCAACCGTTGAATCAAGTGTTATTCATTTCATTTTATAACTATTTCAGAACAATGGGTGAACTGGGACACAAACTTGGATTGGATGAGCTGGCGGGAGGCGCCGTTGGAATCAGCAAAGCCTTGTTGGCTGAGTTTATCGGTATGTATTTCTTAATAATAATAATAATGTATTGCAAGAATATGGTACAAAAATGTGTAAGGTGGTACAATCGTAAGTTCGCATATTCTGCCATACACAATGGCGAGCAAAAATTGTCTTTAAAGGAATTTTACATTTTACATTATTAGTCATATGAATTGGTCAATTCTTATATTATTTGTATCGTACATATCATACCATACGTTATTAAATTTATATCAACTAGTGTCTCACGAAAATAATCATTTATAGAATAACAAATTTTTTTTTCAAAAGTACACACAAAAATACACCAAGTCGATTTTTAAAGACTAGTCGGAAGATCCTTTAATTCTTTTGGTTAATTATTGTAAACCTTTGTTTGCCATACAATACGTATTTTTCTAAACAGTTCCAGATTGATTTTTGGCACAGCCAATTTCTCCCCATGTCTACTTCGACAGATGCTCATTTCCGTTGACGTTTTCACATCAATTGAACTAGTCCCATGCTAAGCTGGTGAAGCTTGTGTTATGGGTACTAGGCAACGGATATACATACATATTATAGATATATAGACATATAAATACATATTTAAACACCCAAGACCTAAGCACAACACCAAATGGTCATCACATCGATGTTCGTCTCAGCCGGGGATCGAACCCGGGACCCATGGATTCGCAGTCAGGGGTACTAACCACTAGACCAATGAGTCGTCAAATATTACTATAGTTTATGTAACATATTATCAAATGCATCACCCATATCGCCAGTACGAACATTAATAAGGAGTCCTATCAGACCCTGAGATTCAGTCTTTTATTTATTTATTTATTTACAGCCCATGCATGGCCAAACTTAGACTAAAAATAACATATAGTTCTATATCTTAGCCTAAACCGGATTCAGACACGAGACTGTTACACTCGTATGCCAAAATCATGTTGGATGTTGACAGAGGAGATAAAGTTCATGCTATCCCGTTTCTGAATCTCACCCTAAAAGGGTCCCACATACCCGACTCTGTTAGGGCCTCATGTCTCATAAAATACCTTGGGTATGATATACATTTCGTTTATTATTGTATTGAATGAAAATGACGGAATTTGGAGCACACAGATGCCAAAGAAAAAAGCTACATAGTTAACATCTAATATATAAAATTCTCGTGTCACAATGTTCGTTCCCATACTCCTCTGATCTCGACCGATTCTTATGAAATTTTTTATGCATATTCAGTAAGTCTGAGTATCGGCTACTATCTACTTTTAAACCCCTAAGTGATAAGGGGTGTCCATCCAAAAAATGTTTTGTTTTAATACAACATACAAAAATACATATAACCCTAAATTTTCACTTCTCTACGATCAACCCTTATTTTTTAATTGTATAAAACTTTGACTCGAACTCTGAGGTTTATTATAGAGAAAAGTTCACTGAACAACCTAAAAAGTTTTCATTCCGGAAAATCTAATAGTCTCCGGGGTAGCACAGCAAAATGTTCCATGTTGGTTGGTACTAAAAAGGTAGGCTAGGCATTAAGGAGAAACGAAGTTCGCGGGGGCAGCTTGTAATAATATATAATCTTAATATATATAAGACTTTTATTACTATGATAAATAAATTAATAAAATTTGTTACATATATAACTATACATATATATATATAAAAACAAAGCGTAAACAAATGTAAATAAACATCGGTCACTTGAAGCCAATATGAGCCCTTTAGTTTTTCCCACACTCATAAACTGTAATTTAAAATTCTCCAATCATGTCCAATAACTTAAGTGTCACTTAGATTTACGAACTCTTCCATAAGTCAAATTACTTTATGTTAATCCAGCGTCGCAACCCCAGTACCCGTAATTTTATGTTAGTTATAAGCTCATATTTTAAACCATTAAGCTACGGTTTCCTAGAAAAGCGATGCCGTTAAGTAACGGCCGTCTTTACGGTGGCCAAGTTGTGGTTTCCCAGAAAGTAGTGCGACCGTATTTTTGAAGTGTTATTCCAATTTCGTTCCACAATTTTTTCTTCATCTGAGCTTGTCTGTACTCTTTGGAATCGATATTGTACATAGCTTCAGCATTTTTAACAAAATCAATTAATTGTTCATCATTTCCGCTCGTGCAGGTCATTGTATTAATTAAATATGCGCACCGCTACACGCGAAAAACGTTGAACTACTGTTTATCACCGCTATGACGGCCGTCATTCAAATGACAGCATCGACGTTACGGTGAAACTCAACGTTCTCTAGAAAAGTTACTCCGATGTTATTTTGGACAACGTATGGGTACATTACGGTCGTTAAATAACGGCACCGCTTTTCTAGGAAACCGTAGCTTTAAAGTCAGTTGTTACCATGCTTCAAACAAAGAGTTTTACTTGATACAAAAACCGCCACCAAACTTAATTCATGCATTTATTTTATAGGAAATCTCCTCTTGAATCTCTTCGGTTGTGGGGCTTGTATAAACGTGACTCAGGGTGTGGATGCAGCGCCCAACATCGTACTCATCGCGTTTAGCTTTGGTCTAGCTGTATTTGCTGCTGTTTCAGTAAGTATTCATCATCATCAGCCTCTTTTCTTAGTCCATTTGACGCCTCCTTCATCAAAAAAAATTAAAATATGTTTATAATGGAACATAAGATACATGTATCACTTATTCCACGACATTAAATTTGAATTTGTAGGCATCCCTACTCATCGGCAAAGAAGAAAGAGGGTGTAGGCCGAGATAAAAAGCCGGCGTAAAAAACTCTCGGTACTCTTTTAAAATAGCAAATCATCAAACAACACTTCTTTTAAAACAAATATCGCAAATTAATTAGAAAAAGCCTGTCTAGAACTAGTCCCAGGCCCTTTTATCAACTAGATAATCGTTAACTTTATAGTAAGCCTTTTTACATAGGTTTTCTTTAATACATTTCTTAAATTTATTAAAAAGCAGAGATAAAAGAGCCTCTGGGATTTTATTTAAGAAGAGTATCCCTTTTCCCAAAAAATAATTACTAACTTTATATAGTCTAGTACGGGGAAATCATCCGCCAGTATGCCTTGCACCGTGTAATTATTTTGTCCATTTGAAAATAACTTAATTCATTATTTTATCCGCATCACCTTGATGGATGGAAGTCTTCCACGTTCACAAGACACTTTCTTTTGCGAACTAACTGACGTGAGGTGTCTTCCCTAGGAGATACGACATCCAATTGTTTTAAAAATCAGTATACTGCAAAGGCACCCACTAACATGAGTGTCCATGGGCTGCGATTTCTTTCCCTTTTTTGGCGTCCCATAGTCTCGTTTGGACCGCTATCCATCCAAAAAACTGCGTGCGCACAAAGGACACATGTCAGAAGTGAAACTTCTTAGGCAAAACAAATTTTTAAGTCTTGTTCATATTTAATACAAATCTAAAACTTTCGATTTCCGAGACTTAGAGGGAGGGAAAAAGGAAGATATATGTTAGGAATTTAATTGTCATTAAAATATTAAGTGTCGTAAATTAATACAAATTATAAATTTAATTTTTTCTTCGATAATAAAAACACGTGACATTTTAATTTACAATTTAATTCGTCATTTGAGATTTCAATTAATTATTTTGCATAAAATATAAAATACTAATGTGTATTAGAATTTCTATAAGGTAATTTGCCCTTCTCACTCTCTCTCAATCGGTCTCTCCCTTTTCTTCGACAAAAACGCTGCACATCTTCGTGACGTTTCCGTAAAAATTTACCCTCATGCACCTGATGAAGTTGCACTTCAAAAATAATAATGTAATGTTTAAATTAAACCGATAAAGAAACCTCTGCCCCGTCCTCAATTCATAAAAATAATCTATGGACCATTCATAGACAATGCTTTTCTTCTAGGCCATAGGTCATATATCTGGAGGTCACCTTAACCCAGCCGTAACAGCTGGTATGTTGGCGACTGGACGCGTCAAATTGGCTCGTGCTATTCTCTACGTAGTAGCGCAGTGCGCTGGCGCAGCCGCCGGCTCTGGATTACTCAAGGCCTTTACGCCGGATAGGGCTGCGGGCAAATTGGGCGTTACAGGCCTCGGAACGGAAGTGACGTCACTACAGGGCTTTGGCATTGAGTTCTTCCTGGGATTCGTGCTAATCTTTGTTGTTTGTGGGGTAAGTTTTCATTTTTAATTATGTTTAGAGATATGAAGGTATGTAAGGTATATAAGGTTCCAGTGTAATAATTTTATGTAGGTTATAATAATTTATAGAGCAGTGTTGGCCTAGTGGCTTCAGCGTGCGACTCTCATACCTGTAGTCATAGCTTCGGTCCCCGGCTTGACCAATGGACTTTCTTTCTATGTGCCCATTTAACATTCGCTCGAACGGTGAAGGAAAACATCGTGAGGAAACCGTCATTTCTTAAGGACCCTAACCTAACGCCTTCATGCGCCTACGCAAGTACGCAAGTTTTTAGCTTAATTTTAATCAAAATAAATATGTTATCTTTATGCTTAGCAAAGTAGGAATTCAAATCACATAGCAAATAATTATGGATAACTTCAAAGATTTATACGGAAAGTCTAATAATGGAAATACTTATGAAACATAACAAAATTAGTCATTACAAATTATAACAATTACAAATCTAGGCATAATGATATCATGTTTCTCACGAACGGCCTTAGCGAAGCCACGATTAGCCGCAATTGTCTGGATTGTGTTTGTAAACGGGCGGTTTTGCTGTCGTGAAACGCCAGTGAAACGTTTGATTGTGATTGGACAATAGATAGTCAAAACATGCGCTACTACAGTCACTTGCCAAAACGAATAGCGTTTTCTGTGCTGTCTCAAATGTATTGAATCATTTTTATTTATCTCTTCCTTTTGTAAATGTTTGAACCATTTTGTATATATATACCATTTTGTATATGTATTCCATCTTTGGCTATATCTTTAGTATAATTGTTTTTAGTTATAAATAATTTAAGCTAGCATTAGGATTACGAAATTAATAAATACTGTGAAAGGTCACATATACACAACTGTAATGCTTTGAAATTTTTTTGTTCTGTTCAAATTTATACGTCTGCGTATAATTCATATTTATTTATTTCGTAATCCTACAGCTATATATTAGCTGTAGGAATTATATACAACAAAAAACTATTATACTAAACTTAGCCAAGGATGGAATATATATGTATACAAAAAGTGTCAAACATTTACGAAAGGAAAAATCAATAAAAATTATTAAATCCGTAATTCTGTATTCGGCTGTGTTGTGTGACGGTGTGAAAGTGAGTATATGTACGTGAGGGTTGGTATGTGGTCTGATGATACAGGGGATTTAGCGCTATGGATATTCTTAACACTCCTTTTAAGCATATTCAGCTATCGCTGACAGTGCCAGGCGCAACAGACAGTCCCATGTGCAGAGGCTGTTACAGCGCAGAGAAATCAGTCACCCACGTAGTCCTGGAATGCATGGCTGTGGCTTACCAACTAACAGAAATCCTCGGAGCTTCTGAAAGGAGCCTTTACGTACAACGGATTAAATGTGTCTGAGTGCGGAAATTGAGTCCACACTGCTACTACTCAAATAAACGCTCGCCTACAAAGCCTATTAAATTCTCTTCGAGCATTGTTTGCAATAAACATTAGATTCCGTGACAAGATGTCATTATCAATTCAAACTGGAAATAACAATTCTCACTGAATGCTCGTCCACCATTCGAAGCCTACGCTATAATGTATTTTACATATAACCCTGTAGCGACATATAAATTCACTGCGATGAAAAACAAAAGAAAAATGAAAATATTTATTTATAGGTTTCTACACTTTTGTATTTTCTATCTGATATGGAGGAGAAACGTGGACAACGCTTTTGCAATGTGCTGGAGGCAAATGTTAATACTATGCTAAACGCACCAATGCATCGATCCTTTGCCAGCTCCATATTAAAACCCGACTATCAACTATAAGCCGACAACGAAGCATTTCGTACTTTGATCGCACAAAGCGTGCGACGTGAACATAAAGAAAGCTCGTGATGGCAACAACAAAGGCAAAAGTTCGCTGACAAAAGACTGATCAAGTGAAATACTCTTCGTGGAAATTATACACCGTTGTATAAAAATCGAGTAAATTGGTGGAGTAAAAGTATTCGCGCCAGATCTGACCACGATACTCAGATGAGTTACCGACCCAGAGAGGGGTACATGTCGTAAAAAATGGTTCTTAATTCACTGCCAGTAATACTAGGTATATAATGTTTTTAAATCGCCAAGTTTTTGTAAAATGTTGCAAGTATCATATTTTAACACATCTGAAAAGTTATTCCAATCGCTAAGGCTTTCGACATCTTGAACTGCGGCCTTCAGTCCAGTTAGAGGTGACCCTCCCTTTAGATTGGAGATTTACGCCCGAACGCAATAACCTATCTTAATCCATAATCCACCATCTGAGATAGTATAATCTTAAGCCAAATGATGTAACAATGTGCCAATAACCAAACGACGGATTGTAATAGCCATCTGTCGATACAAGCTATCCATGGAAGGTAGTATCGGTGTCTGTGGACTTTTGTATGAAAAGGACAGTTGATAAAAGCTCAATTTAAACAGTTAATTATTTTAACAGATTTTAACTTACGCCATTTTTTTAAATAATTAAAAAAAACAGATTGTTATGTTTTAAACATACACATGTATACTTTAATGTTATTTCATATTTGTACGAATTTATTTACTTTTTTGGTTTACATTGATTATCAAATATGAGAAAACTCGGTAAAATGGAACGACAAAGAGCATTTTATCCGTCGCCAAAAATGGATTGTCTTCGTAGGGTTTGGTTATTGGGATGCTGATAGGAGATCGATCGACTGTCACGGTCTGATTGAAAACAATCACAGATTGTGGATTGATTATTGGGTTCGGACGTTAATGTTCTGTCTCTCTAACTCACTGTAGGTAACCTACCCTGGCACTGCGACGACGTGAAACGCGCTAACGTAATATTAGTTTGAGAAATCTACCTCTCTTGGCTTAGTGGTTAACGTACATACTGTTACCAAATGGATCTCGCTTCCATTCGTAAAAAAATATGTCACTCGGACAGACTTACTAAAGCACCAGCCAATTCATTCATTCACGTTTGTAGAATGTCTTGATATACATTTGTTACCCATTAAATTAATTGTGTTAGTATTTTAAAAGCGAAAAAATCTTTTCTTAACATTATATTTATTGAGAGGTCACTCAAAGAACATCAAGTTTTAAATTACTCAGTTATGGAAATGAAGATTCTTTTATAACGCGTGGGAGTTCTTAGTTTTGACGTACTAACGTATAGTGATTACAAATATATTGTTACTGTTTTTAATAATACTGGGAATATATTTAATAACACACAAATATATATAAAAAATTGTGCGTGTACTAGGTGTACACACGTAAGAAGTGAAACTTCTTTATGATCTTATTTTTCGAAAAATGATCTACTATGTGCAACTTTACAGAAATTCGTTAAATTAGATAAAGTTTAACAAAAGGCTTTTATTATCATAGACATGAATACAAATATTTCATTTTACCTTACTACTACGAAGATTATTATAGAATTTCATTAATTGTAATAGAATTATTACTATCATTGAAAAACGTGACGATTTGCTACAAAATTTCTCCCATACGTCGATAAAGAAGTTTCATTCCAACGCCGATAAAGAAGTTTGACTTCAAAAAGCAACATGGTGCGTAACGGAAAAATGTGACGCGTAACGAAAAAATGTTACACTAAATTTTTTTCCAACCTCGATAAAGAAGTTTCACTTCAATAATAATTAAAAATGGATAAATAGAAAACAAAAATAAATTTAAGAAGCTGGATCCCTGTTTCTAAGATTGCGATACTTATTCGTTGATTGAAATCGTTTAAGGGTTTAACTTTAATCTGTAATTAGCGCCTGCCCTGCGATTCTGTAACTGACTTTTCGAACTCACACAGCGGTTTTCGGATCGCCGGTCGCTCTCAAATCAGTCGTGAAGCAGTCATTTTATGATTTGGCATTCTGAAAAGGTGGAAGCTTGTAGTTTATTGTTTATTAGAATGCCAAATCATAAAATGACTGCTTCACGGCTGATTTCAGAGCGACCGCCGATGCGAAAACCGCTGAGTGAGTTCGAAAAGTGAGTTACAGAATCGCAGGGCTGTGCACTTGTTTATATGGATCTTCAGAATAAATCTGTCAGAACGGCACGTTACGTCAGAAATGTGTTAATTAAATTGTCGGAAAAGCTGTTCGCTAAAACTCAAGAATGGCTGGACCGATTTGGCTAATTATGATCTTAAAATATTTGTGAAAGGAAGGTTTAAACGGTGGCAAACATAAAAATAAAAATTGTTCCTAGCTGGAAACTATTTGATATCTTTTGTCTACTTTTAAATAAAAAATTGCCACTTGGTTGTCATATACGAGGCATGCCTTTTAAGTTTTGTCGTTTGCTGAAAAAAAACACAACTAGAACCTTATAGTACTTTTTATTGTTTTTCAAAGTATTCACCACGTAGCTTTTCCATTCGCTCAACCCAGTTATTATAACATTTATTCCACTCTAAAGTGGAGGTGTTCAAAATGGCTGACTTGAAAGCGTCGACTGCTTCTTCACCGGACTGGAACCTTTGACCACGAAGACTTTTCTTAATTTTTGGAAATCTAAAAAAAATCGTTAGGGCTTAGGTCAGGACTATATGGAGGATGGTCAAGAATTTCCTCTTTTCCTGCTTCAAATACTAAATTGTTTGACGAGCGCTGTGTGAGCTTGCGTTGTCGTGGTGCAGGATGATGCGTCGCTTTAAGGGATCCCACACAAAACTGCGATGCGATGCGATGCGAATTTTTGCGATACGATTTAGTGCGTCAAACCGTTTGGTAGGGCGACCATTCCTTCGAAGCCAGCCGTACTGAACGTGTTTTTAAGAAGCGTAAGATGGATCGCAAAAACATTATTGCACTGCTGTTATTGTTAAATAGATATAAAAGAAAAAGAAGATTCTGGGTTCATCCATTCATTACGATTATGAACTCTGGTGGGAACTATTTTATTCAAAAGTACTATGCGTTGAGAACTGAAGATAAATTATTTGATTATTTTAGAATGAGCATATCTTCATTTGAAGAGCTTTTGAGTATATTATCACCATGCCTTCAATAACGATCGTACAAGGGAAGAATTCCTGTTATGCCTTTGGAAATGTTGGGACTGACTATCAGGTAAAGTAAAACAAAATGTATTTATTGACATTTTAATTGTTTGTCTCAGAGCGGACTAAAATGGTGTCACCAAGGATGACGTAAAATCGCAGGAATGTGCGATGCGAAGCAGATCGGAAATTCTTGCGTTGCGTTCGTGCGAATTCGCAGATATTTGCGATGCGATGCGAATTCGCAGTTTTGTGTGGGAGCCCTAAGTTAGATTTTCGAAGTTTGGCGATGACTTGTGGTAAACAAACTGTGGTATACCACTCTGCGTTCACCGTTCTACGATCTTCAAGTGCAATAGTCGCAACATGGCCGGTTTTTCCAACGAACATTGCCACCATCTTCTTTGAAGTGCTTCGAGAACGAACGAGTTTAGTCGGCTTTGGCTCGTCTTGAAAGACCCAGATTGTAGATTGTTGTTGGGAATGAGGATCGTAGGCATAGATCCAAGATTCGTCACCACTGATGATGTCGTAGACGTGATTTGACTCTCTTCGGTTGAACCTTTGCAGAGTTTTCTTACACCATCTGACGCGGGCCGCCTTGTGATCGTCGGAAAGCGGATGCGGTATCCAACGGCACACTAGCTTTCTCACACCAAGTGCTTCATGCAAGATCTTCTGAATGGTTGTCCCTGAGATGCCTAATAAAGCCTCCATCTCTCGATACGTCACATGACGATCTTCGAGAATTAATTGTCTCACAGCAATGATGTTTTCTTCAGTGAAGGCGGAATTTGGGCGTCCTTCGCGAGATTTGTCACTAACACTAGTATGTCCACGCTGGAATTCTAAATACCAGCGTTCGACAGTCCGCAGACATGGGGCTTCATCACTGAACACAGATATTAGCTCTTCAAAACACTGAAGCCGTGTCAGGCCTCTTCTAAAGTTGTAGAAAATTATTGCACTAACATTTTCCTTAGAAAGATTCATTTTCGTACGTAACCTGACAGATTCAAATCGACGCTGTGACTAAACAATAGCATTAATCCTTATACTTTCAACTGTTTTGAGATTCAAAATTTAAATACATTCGAATATAGAACACGTCCAAATTCAAAATTGCCGGGAAATATGGAAACGACAGAACTTAAAAGGCATGCCTCGTATATAGGTGCCTTCTGAAATTTGTTACATATCTGTTATGAAGTTCATCGGGTCATATTATAGTTTTTAATATAATTTAAACTTGCAAGTTTTGTCCATTGTCAAAATCAAATTTGCCACAGGCTATGTTATTACCATTGTCAAAATCAAGGCGTTTCAACAGAAAATATTTCATTAAAGCAGACGTTCGATGAAGGCGTGTCGAATCATTTGTCTCGATAATAGCTAGATTCGACTGATCGCGTGCCCCTATTTAATTTAGCATAATCAATATAAGAACTGTTTAAATACACAACACGATACACAAACATTTTTATTTACTTCGTAATCCTACAGGTAAAAATAGCCAAAGAATAAATACATTATATACAAAAAAGTTCAAACATTAACGAAAGGAAAAGATCTATAAAAATTATTAAATAATACCTAAGTAATACCTATTTCGACTGTTGCGTGATGGTGTAAAAGTGGGGTGTGCTCATGATGATGATTTTTTTTTTATTGAGACATCACAATCTAACCTAAGACTAAGTCTAACCTAATTTACTAATAAGTCTATTCAAATTCAAAATCATTTATTCATTTAGGTAACACAATGTACACTTGTGAACGTCAATAAAGACATACATATGAAATGCTTCTAATTTCACATTTACTGTCAGTTCTCAAATCAAGAGAACGGACGAGTAGAACTGGCAAAAAACTCTCCGCCACACTTATTAATCGCCAAGTTTTTGTAATACAAAATGTTTGTAAGGAGCTGCAACCATTACACCATGTTCCACATGACATGTTAAGTAATTAATAATTATTAAAAAAACAAATATTTGTCCTCTATCAGCAGTAGGCATGGTAAAATAGGAGCACGTACTTACATTCTCGTGGGAACAACACGCAAACACATAGTCGAAATAACTAACATCACCGCACACACGAATTCAACCAATAAATCCTCCAACACTGCTTACATTCTCTGTTAAGGAGAAGACACTCTATTCTTGTGTTCTATTTTTCTTTAGTTCTATCCACCACTGATCTTACACTAATTCAAATGCTTTTGTCCCCTTCAACCTTCTCACTAGGCCCATGGTGTCTGTCACCAAGATGAATAGTCTCGTGATGTTGGAGCCTTTGTTCGTGGGCTCCAGCAATCTTTTAATTATTCTGGCGATACTTCATATTGAAAAATAAAACTTGCGTGACTCGTCTGATAGCACACGGGGAGTGTCAATGCGTGTACAATTATACAAGTTTCAAGAAAACTAATTTACTAACGATGTGATATGTTTAATGGCGGATTAAGGGTGCCCCATGGGGCCCATAACACGTACCTCTAAAGCGTATACAATGTATTTAACTGTGTGACAATTTGAAGAGCGCTTGTATTTTTTTGTAAAAAAAAATCTGTTTCATGATCATTTTTAAATCTAATTGGCAAGTAGGTGATCAGCCTCTAGTGCCTGACACACGCCGTCGACTTTTTGGGTCTAAGACATGTCGGTTTCCTCACGATGTTTTCCTTCACCGTTCGAGCAAATGTTAAATGCGCACATAGAAAGAAAGTCCATTGGTGAACAGTCGGGATTACAACCTACGATCTCAGGGATGAGAGCCGCACGCTGAAGCCACTAGGCTTAGTAGCCTAGGATTTACGAGTATATGTCAGCTAGCTTAACTACTAATACATAATTCTGACAAGGCATTAGGCATTCTCCATTGGTTACTTATAAGTCTTACTAAACTGCCCTGCGATTCTGTAACTCACTTTTCGAACTCACACAGCGGTTTTCGCATCGGCGGTCGCTCTGAAATCAGTCGTCAAGCAGTCATTTTATGATTTGGCATTCTGATAAACAATAAACTACAAGCTCCCACCTTTTCAGAATGCCAAACTTAAATTGGTAGAAAGATTTATTAATAATAGGTAATATGTGCTAACAATGACTTCTGTTAAGGAATTACGCGAAAAGTTCCTTCAATCGATAAAAATTTATATACATATATTGTTCGAATCTGTTTTTGATTTTGAATGTATTTTCAAAGGTTCCCCTCGATTTCTCTGTGATGCCATCATCAGATCCTGTTTTCCTATGTAAGATACCCTTAAGGTATCACCTTTCCAACAAAAAATAATCATCAGAATCGGTTCATAAACAACAGTTATCAGCAAACGCGGTCAAATTGAGAAACCTCCTCCTCGATTAAAAACAATCATCTCAAACTGTGTTTTTTTTTTTTCAAATACATAAAAAAATAAAAGATGCGCTACAACCTTATCTTGGTGTTGGCCGTAGATCGCATTCGTTTCCATTTTTAAAGACAAATAGGTGATCAACCGTCTGTGTCACATCGTTATTTGGGTTTGAACTTTTGAGACATTCCGGTATCCTCACGACGTTTGCACCGTAGGAGCAAGTGTTATATATGCGAGTAGAAAGAAAATTTCCTTGGTACACAGCCGTGGTTCTAACACATCGTGCGGTCAGAGTGGCAGGCCTAACCCACCAGGCCAACAATACTCAATGATGAGTACGTATGGTTTTTGGTACCACGGTCTGGCTTCCGACCCTAGATACATCATTATACAAATGTATAGAAATGATTCATCCTGAAAGTTGAGTTTCATCATCGGACGTCGAGGCAGAATACGAAATTCCGCCTGTGCGATTTTTTAGGGCAGTTTCTGCAGCGCACCACTACGTGGTACCAGCTGCCCACTGTCATATTTCTGAACCAAATCCACTAAGGGTTAAGAAAACAGCGTACCAATTCTTAAATGTCCGGCACTCGCGAGCCCTCTGGCAATGAGAGTATCCATTATCGCCATCAACATCGTCTTGCACATTAGATTAATAGATTCACTCAGGTCTAATTTATAAGCCCCTATTTAAGTTACTAGAACAACAATAGGACACTCTTTCACTGTCTCCACTTCCATGAATATAAAAATTTGATGGGACCCTGGATGATTTTATCAATAACTTCTTCTTTTACAGGTGTGTGACCCTAACAAACCCGATAGCAAAGCCACCGCCCCTCTTGCGATTGGTCTAACTGTGACTTTGGGCCATTTGCTGGCTGTGGACTACACTGGATCAGCTATGAACCCAGCTCGCTCCTTCGGTTCTGCTCTCGTCGCCAACGAGTGGTCTGATCATTGGGTAAGTTGGATAGGTTATTAAATATTAAGAAAATCAATTAAAAAAACAAATTTGTTTAATAATTACGATAAATGTATTAAATTTAATAACACTTTATAGACATACATGTTCCTTACAAATTGTGTTAACGCCGTGACAAGAAACAATAGAAAAATTTAACAGTAATAACATTTTTATTATTATGTAACCTACATAATAATAATAATAAATGATAAATAGAAAATTAAAACAATTTAAAAAGTTTGTCGACGAAGACGTGATTTACATATAAAGGGACTGGTCACATTATTATTTTAATAAATATATTCATAAACATCAGTCTGAATACACTCTTACTACGGATCACTCCGTGCAAGATTTGGCATACAGAGGCAATCTGGGTCAGGCTGTTGAAGCAAGCTGATTTAACTGGACTGGGATTATGGAAAAGCAAAACGTAACTTGCGCATAGGTAAGCTGTCAGCCTGTAATTAGGTGGAACTTTGTGGAACCAGCTGCCCACTGAAGTATTTCCGAACCAATTCGACTTAGGGTTCTTCAAGAAAAGAGCGTACCAATTCTTAAAAGGCCGGCAACGCAACCGTCTGGCATTGAGAGCGTTAATGGACGGCGGTATCACTTAACATCAAGCGAGCCTCCTACCCGTTTGCCCCCTGTACTATAAAAAAAAGGTCTGCAAATAATACTTTTTGTACTTCATTTAAAACATCGTGGCATTTGAAAGCACTGTCCGTTTATTTCTCCAGCTGCCAGAGGCTATGACACTTCCTAGGTATATAATATATATATATAGATATTACACAACAAAACAGCACCACAAAAATCGTGAATCGGTGAAAGTGGGAACATCGCAAATTTAGATATCACAATTCGATCTGTGGAATTTAAAGATACTTTATAGAAAGCGTCGTTCTGTCATTTTCATACAAATGTCCTCCCAAAGATGGTTTACAAAAACATTGACAATCGGACTATCCATCGTTCAGTTATTGAAAAGTTTTTTATGAGAAATGGATTGAACTATCAATCTAGTAGTAAAAATTGGATTGGGATTAAGTATCGAAAGCGGCCGTTATCGGCTTGAAGAGCTGAAGTACTTATGTCAATTGATTCTTGTGTATTGTTTGCATAATGTATAAAATGATAATATGTACCCATATGATTAGTTTGTTGACAGTATTATCTACTGTTCTGTATACATAATAAGCGATGATTTAAACCTAGAATATGTTAGTAAGTTCATAGGCTAAAATAAACAACGCCAAATTATTCCATAGTTATATATTTGGTGGTGTATGTATTATTCTTTTGTTTTGCATGGCAATTCATGAATCCGTGAGATTAGCCTTTATTATAAATTCGTTTGATTTTAAGTGAGCCGTCTTAATAACTCTACTGTCTTGTCAACGTACCTCTAGAAGCCTTAACGAGTACGACCTCCGACCAAGCCATTCAATTACTATATCTTAGAGTGATATCCAGAAACGAGTGCAGCACGAGCTGTGACTTCCATATGTCAAAATCAATCCAATTTTGTCATACGGGACGTCTTCTGACCTCATCGCAGTGTTTTTGTTGTCAATACAAATGTATGGCAGTACAATTACTATCACAAGTGACAATTTGGCTCAGTCATTTGTTCTTAGTTTTATAAGCGGGATTATTTAAATCGTCGGAGTTACGCACAAGATAATATATTAGGTGGGCTGAAGTTTCGTTCGATTTGATTATTCAATATAGTTATGAAGGATGTATAGGATGCATCGATGAGGTCAAACGACGTATCAGAACGGCGATGAAGAAGATGCGAAAAATATAAAGAAACAATAATATAACAAAAGCCACGAAGAGGCTCGTGAGGGAACTTATATTCCCCATTTTTATGCGCGGCTAAAACGTGGATCAGAATAGACGCTCTGAAAATGTGGTGCTAGAGGAGAATGCTTGTGGTTTCGTGGACAGAGTTTCGTACAAACGTCTCGGTACTTCAAGAACTCGGTATTAAGCAGTGTCTGTTCTCAACAGTACAATCTCGCATCCTTACATTCTTTGGACACTATCTCGGCGTGGTGATCAGTTCATAGAACACCTTGTCGTCCAAGGGAAGGTGGAAGGCATGAGTCAGCGCGGAAGGTCATCTACGCGTTGGACTTACCAGATCAATTCTGCCGTAGGAGGTTCACTCAATGAATGCAGCAGGGTGACCTCTAATAGGCAACGGTGGCTAAATGTGAAGCGCATCACATCTGCCTCTTCTAAGGTCAAAGTCAAAGTTAAAAATCATTTATTCATATAGGTAACACAATGTACACTTATGAACGTCAAAAAAGAAATATACAATAAAAGCTTCTAATTTTACATTGCCAGTTTTCAAATCAAGGGTGTAGAACGGAAGAGAAGAACTGGCAATAAACTCTCCGCCACTCTTTTTAATCGCTAATTTTTTTGTTTAACACAACGTTTGTAACAAGCTGCAACCATTATACCATGTTCCACATGAGATCTTAAGTAATAAATAATAATAAAATAAATGAAAAACAAAGATTTTTCCTCTATCACCAGAAGGCATGGTGAAATAGGAGCACGCACTTAAATTTTCGTGGGAACAACACGCAAACACATAGTCGAAATAACTAACATCACCGTATACACGAATTCAAGTACGACCCAGTCACCACAAGTAGCACGCGTTCACGAGTATGACACATGGCCAGCCATCGGCCCCCTCGCCATATTTTAGGGGGAGAGACAATAATAATATTAATACTACATAGCGATCACGACTGCACTATCAGGAGTGTACCGGATAATAAGTAGAAACATAGTTGCCGTAGAGAGCGATACAACGATTAATAACGGTTATAAAAAAAATTTGATACCATTTTTATGTCCAAAAAGCTGGAAGCGTTTGAGATCTGGGTTTATCGACGTATCCTTAAAATATATTGGACAGACCGCATACGAAATACAACCGTGCTGGACAGAATGCGGCAGAACAAAGAAGTGCTTATGACGGTTAAGAAAAGGAAACTTGAGTATTTCGGACACGTTTTACGTAACTCCAAAAAATATGAGCTCCTTCTATTAATCATACAAGGCAAAATGGCAGGTAGAAGGAGACCTGGCCGCAGACGCACGTCCTGGTTGAAAAACTTAAGACAATGGGTTTGGTCAAAGCACCAAGTCATTGTTTAGCCAACCTTCGCAAGGAGATGGCACTATAAGAAGACCATTTTTATAGTACGATTTGACTTAAGCCTCAAAATAGGTTTCAGTTTCGGCGATTGCCTCTGATATTCGCAAACGATGCCTCTCTCCAGTATATTAATTAGCAGGCATTTCATTTCGAACAAGCTACATATGAAATATATGCGGGAATCGAACCCATGTGTTTAACCCGAATACATAAAATAATGAATACATTAAAGTAATGATATGATGCCAAATCTGGGTAATGCATTGTATGGTAATAGATAACGGATTAAATATACATAACGAGCCGTTGTATACAGCGCCATCTATTGAAGAGTTTATGAAAATTTACTTCAAGTCGGTTTAATTAATTTTGTTAAAACATCTAATTATAGTGTTTAAAAATGCCAACAGATTATATTTTTTTTTTCATGTTTGACATTATTTCTCCATATTTGATTATTGTTCCCTTTGGAGTAGACTCTTAGGCCGTGGGGTTCCGGTGTACAGCTAATAAAAGATTTAAGTTGGCCTCTAGTAGATAGTACCGGTAGCCCCAGAGCTGGTGCTTTCCTCAACGAATAAGTATCGCAATACAGAGAGGAAATGCTGCTAAAAGGTACACTGCCACAGGGACCAAAGTTTTTTAATTTGTTTTAAATCTTCCTTTTATTAAGTTTTATTATTATCTGTTTCTCATACAGCGTTAACACATTACATTTTACAGTGCAATTGCTAACCACACTGATATTGTTTTTGTAGTGTGAAAAATAGTTTTATAAGTCACGTGAAACGTGAGCAAGCATTCCCATGCAATGGTTGACACTAGTGGGTCACTTATGTCGCAGTGTTTAATCTGTCAAAAAACTATAATTTATTTAGGTATACTGGGCTGGTCCGGTGGCTGGTGGTGTTGCCGCTGCTTTATTATACGTCCATGGCTTCTCTGCAGCTCCAGTTGACATTCCTCCCCGATACAGGCCCGTTGCTGGTGACGAAAAAGAGGTAAGAGCATTCTTCTAAACTCTAGATTTAGTACATATTCAGATAGAGAAGTAAAAACGAAAAATAAATATCTACCTATCTATAAAATTTTAGTTTGTATATTTATTAACACTTCGTTGCAAGTATACAGAAATATAGTACAGTAAAAATAATTAATTGAAAAGGAGTGCAACTGGCGGCCTTATCGCTTTCGAGCGATCTCTTACAGGCAACCACTGTGAGAAAAAGAACTTAAATTCGATAAGGTGAGCGCAAGAAGTCCAAAGTTACATAAGACGTATACTTAGACGAAACTAATGGAATGCAAGCAATTAAAACATGTGTAAAAAGTAGATGGGACAATAATAAATGATAAAAGGACACATGAAAAACAAAAAGTGCACATGAATCACGATGATTTTAAACAAAGATAATACAACCACAATATTTTAGTATATATGGAAGATAACAAAATCCGCATATAAACTTTCGTAGGATTCTAAACGAGAGATAAATATTATTATTTAACGCCCACATTTTCGCAAATTTATAAACTTACCGAACTCACGCGTAAAATAATTAGAATCTTACGAATGGATATCCGTTAATTGATAAACTTGCTGATTTTATTATATTCCGGTGCCATATACTTTGATAATTTTCCTACAAATCCCTTAGAAAATATAGAATTTGTAAGTATCCTATATTTTGTATGAATACAATTCTTTACAAGCGTACTGGACGCCTGGCTTCAACAGCGTGGACGGTTGAAAATACTGTAAGCAAAACAATACAATCCAATTATAAAGAGATCTTAATTTATTTCGACCTTGAAAACCATTCACTCGGTCAAGTTCGAGGTCACTGCATGCGTCTGTTGTTGCACTGTTTTGTTCCAAGTTTTTTTAGTTATTGTAACATTTGTATCCTCTTCAGAATCAGTATTTAAATGGCTCTGGTATACTCTCGACATAATTCAGCCCAAAAAGAATACGGGCACCTCAGTAAAATCACGTTCTAAGGTCGATTTCAGTTAATTAAATTGTCTGACGAAGTCTGTATACCTACTTATAATCGTAATTAATACGTAAGTGAATTCTGGCAATGTTTTTATTGAATTTATTAAAATGCCACGGCCAAACAATGGTCGGAAATAAGGACAAGAACATTTTTTTTTATTGGACAATTATTCACACCAATTGACCTAGTCCCATGCTAAGCTGGTGAAGCTTGTGTTATGGGTACTAGGCAACGGATATACATACATATTATAGATATATAGGCATATAAATACATATTTAAACACCCAAGACCTAAGCACAAAACCAAATGCTCATCACATCAATATTTGTCTCAGCCGGGGTTCGAACCCGGGGCCCATGGATTCGCAGTCAGGGGTACTAACCACTAGACCAATGAGCCGTCTGTTATTACATTTACTTTTATTAATTAAATAATGTTATAAATGTAATAACGTGTGACCCCGCCAAAATCACAGCTTGATTCATTCTCCTCTCTTCTTTCATATTAATTTAACAAGAGAACCAATAGCAGAATTGATTGTTCTGAGTACTGACTTTGACTTATTTTTCTATTTCTTTTTATTAATAAACAATCTACAGTGTACACTCTATATAACGACACTGAAGAGACTGTGCATATTATCGCGTAATAGACAGCTGTCGTTAAATGGAGAGAAGGAAAACGTATGGACTCCTACTTATTAGTCATGGTCAACAACAGTCTACGCGTGCAATCAATCCCAATTTGTAAAAAAAGAACGAATTTCTAAGAAAGTTCGTATGCATGATGCCGACTGTCGAGTTTATTGCAGGCTAGGATTACAAAGCGACACAGCTAGCGTACGTACGACGAAAGAATGTACTGCGCAGTTTTTACTATTTTATCAACTTAAAAAGTATGTACTTTATTACTTTTTATAATAAAGTACATACGCAGTACTTGTATTTCATGTCGTATGGAAGACAAGCTAAAACAAAGAAAGCCAATTTATTTCGACGCTTTAGGGAGTTTGTCGTTAAATCGTGGAACGTTACATGGAGTGTACACCGTATTTTGTATTAAATATTTATCACGTAAATGTTTTGTGTCTATAAAAGAATTCTTCAGCGTGCTGCCCAGTACTATATATCTTTATATTTTTTCAGCTCAAGAGATTGGACGGTAAGGGCGAAGACTTGGCGTGAAAACGTCGCTGGCGGTGTCGCCCTGCCATTGGAATATCAGTGCCCAGCGATACGCGTTACCCTAAAACATACGAATACAATACTGCCACCGACACAAATGTCCAAGTGAAATTTCTATCACGCACTTCTCTTCCAATTAATTAAGGTTTTATATCGTTTATGTACTCAGTTTGAATGTGTGTTTATAGATTTGTGTATTTTAATGGAACTTGTTTAATATATAAACATGTTATTTTTAATTTCGTTTCATTTCTTTTACTTCTCAAGAACTCAAAATTATCTTGTACAAAAATTTATCTTAGAATTATTTTTATTGCTTAAACCATCGTTTCTCAAGTTGGTACATAATTACATATAGGTACAAAAGAGTCGTTAAAAATAACGCGCTATGTATGTTATTATAATTTTAGTGACGGTGTCGCAAGACTGTTTTACTTACAAGTACTTACTTTTAGGCATTTTCGTGGGTCGCGACACATAAATGGTTGATTATAGATAAACAACAAAAACACCAAAAATACTTTGGAGTTTAACCTTGGTGCCTGAAGGGTACATCACAGTACAAATTCCTCGAAATTCCTTACAAACTGTAGTTTCGTTCGTTCGTTAGTCCGTATTAGCAACTCTGTAGAGTTAATACAATCAACACAAAAACGAAACGAACAAACTAAACAAATAGAGGTAAGTACCTACATATAAAATCTATCTTTTATGGAGTCAAGCAATCAAGTTAACCAAAAAATACCTCGCAATTTTCGTTTTTTTTTAATATATATATTAGGCGGCAAACGGGCAGGAGGCTCCCCTGATGTTAAGTGATAAGCCCATGGAGACTTACATTGACGGTCTTTTTAGAATTGGTATTTAATTCTTAAAGGACCCAAGTCGAATTGGTTCGGAAATACTTCAGTGGGCAGCTGGTTCCACATAGTGGTTGTGCGGCAAATACTGCCTTAAGAAACGCTCAGTTGTGGAACGACGGACGTCGAGGTGATACGGATGGTATTTTGTAATCTGCCTTAACGTCCGATGATGAAACTCAGCTTAGTCCGTATTAGTAATAATAATACAAATTTACATCAAATATTTGATCTAAGGTATACAACACTACTCATTATAGGCTATGAGCTGAAAACCAGGAAGGGAAAAGGTCGAAGAGAGACAAGGTGTTAACCAAGTATCAGATTTTTTTTTTTTTATAGAACGGGGGGCAAACGGGCAGGAGGCTCACCTGATGTTAAGTGATACCGCCGCCCATGGACACTCTCAATGCCAGAGGGCTCGCGAGTGCGTTGCCGGCCTTTTAAGAATTGGTACGCTCTTTTCTTGAAGGACCCTAAGTCGAATTGGTTCGGAAATACTTCAGTGGGCAGCTGATTCCACATAGTGGTGGTGCGCGGCAAAAATCAAAATAGCATGAACAGATGGTGGCAAGAAAGTCAATGTAATGTGCTGGAATGCTTAAAGCATTCAGATGAACAACATTAAAATACTAGATTTTTCTCCGATAATTTGGTTGAAAACATTTAAGGAATCAGCGCACACAAGAAATTCTGACATCGCTGTTAAAAAGAGACTTGGTTATAAATTACTCCAAAACAACTAATAGCTAACAACATTTTATCAGGCGTTTTATTAGCGTTTAATTAGTGGTATTACAAAATTAAGAAGGCGCGTAAGAATTTATAAACTCTATGCTCCATATATACAGTGCCATATACTTTTCTTGGGCGGCGGCTGAAATTAGTACTACCGGCGCCATTTTGTTGGGTACAATAAACAACTTTACTATCTGCCAACATCTAATAAAAATCCAACTAAAACCTATTTATTTTTATTCCTTGTATTATTAATTACAATGGCTAAGTTTAAATTATCGAACGGTTCTGATTGCTGGTATCTTAAAATTTAGAAAACACTTTTTTACCGGATTGAAGTTAAGTATTATTATAAATTTACAATTATTTTACATCATTTTAAATTTAACCGACGTTTCGCGTGCTTCGTGGTCACCGCACGCTGTAAGAAACTAATTAAAGAAAAGCTGTGTAAAAAGGCTTACTATTAAGTTAACGATTATCTAGTTGATAAAAGGGCCTGGGACTAGTGCTAGACAGGCTACTTCTAATTAATTTGCGATATTTGTTTTAAAATAAGTGTTGTTTGATGATTTGCTATTTTAAAAGAGTACCGAGAGTTTTTTAAGCCTGCTTTTTCTCTCGGCCTACACCCTCTGTCTTCTTTGCCGATGAGTAGGGATGCCTACAAATTCAAATTTAATGACGTGGAATAAGTCATGCCTGTATCTTATGTTCCATAATAAACATATTTTATTTTTTATTCTATATTACATTTTCATACCTATTACATTTGTAATAAACAACTGTGGTTTTAAACAACAATAATATTGACTATTATTCGTTGACCGTAACAAGACGTAAATCTCATATCACTTTGTTTATTTCAAAAACGCATTTCTGTTTATAATAATAATAATAATAAAGCCCGTTTAATTTCCAATCATGACAAAAACAAATTATAATACACAGCTTAGATTATTTTAAATTTTTTATACATTTTTTTTTCTTTTGCATATTATTCTATATTCTAGCCTTCTTCAGTACCGTCGATCGGAACCCCTTCACGGGTACAGGCCTCCTGCAGCTTTTTCCAACTGACTCTGTCTCTCTTTCTCCATTCGTCGCCTGCTACCGCTTCTATGTCTTCTATCCACCTTTTTTTTGGGCGACCTCTTCTTCTTCCACTTGGTCCTTTCCATACAGTTGTCTTTAAGGTCCACCTATTATTGGTGTATCTTGTTATATGCCCCGCCCATTGCCACTTCTGTTATAGGGCATAATGTAAGGCATCTATAACTTTTGTTCTCCGTCTTATTTTTCGCTTTTAATTTTTATGTATTTTTCTTATTTTAAGTACGCTTCTTTCCATTGCTTTCTGGCATGCTACTAGTTTAGTTTTTATTTTTGTATTGTAACTTTGTAAGTCCACGTTTGGCAGCTGTATGTGAGAGTAGGTAAGATACAAGTGTCCAAGACAATTTTCTTGAGGTTAAGAGAAAATTGACCTTTTTCACATTTCCTTCATGGACCAAAACGTTTTCCAGGTCATGTTAATTCGCCGCTCTACCTCAAGTTCTTCATTTTTATCTTCGAATGATAATTGTTTACCAAGGTATATATTGTAGTTTCTGTTTGTCTTCCATTTACGGGAAATGTTTTGCCATATACTCTATAGGGTGAAGCGTGGCTACTTGTTATGTTGTTGTTGTTTGATTTACGTGTTCGAGTAGTTTAACATTCAAACAACTGTAAGTATTTGATTTTCCAATTTTAATAAAACTATTATAGAAAAACATCAAACTACAAACAACATCACATATACATATATATGTTAACACTTTTTTTTAACGCCGTTTTGTGTTAGTTTCTTAATAAAGTAGTGAACTTAATATATTGTATTATATTACTTTCATAAAATCATAAATTGAGTTCAGTAACACGACATTAACTGTTAGGCGTTACGCTTTTTAACAGATTTATAACTCTAGTAACATTTTGTATAAAGTGACTACTTCCGCATTGGACTGTGCGTTTCATTAAAAGCGGTCACCCGTGCGTGATACGTTTTTGATTTTCGGTCTACTTACCTACCGATTTTCTCACTATCCTGTTCTTACCGTAGGACCAAATGTTGCATTGAAAATCCAATGATGCATAAGGATTCGAAGGCCTAACGCCTGTTGCAGACCGAAAACTAAGCTATGCCAAGGCTAAACTAAGCTATGCCAAGCAAGCTAGGCTAAGCTAAGCTAGAAATAAATAGCGTGCACACCAACAGCTAACCCAAAGCTCAGTCAGTGTTGCATAGTATGTGCAAAGGGTGTGCGGTGTAGCGGGAGGGGCTTAACTTAGCTCGTGTAGCTGCGCATCGGCATACACAACTAACTTAGCTTCGCATATTTTAGTTAGCTCACATAGCTTAGTTCGCATAGTTTGCGGTCTGCACAGATGTATGGAAAATTGCGTCAGCTATGCGAGCTAAGCTAAACTAACGTAGCTTAGCTCTTGGTCTGCAACGCGTATAACGCCTGTACACTGTAACTCCCAAAACCGTATCAATTATTACGATCCCAACTTTTGAATTTCTGTACCGGGCGACATCATCAGATATTGAGGATAAGATTCAGAAGCGAAAATTACTTAGCGTAAACCATGACTGATGATATGGCAAAAATCTAAGTTTTTGCACTATTTCATACATAAAGAGAGAGAGAGAGAGAGCAGTGGCTTTAGTGTGTGACTCTCATCTCTGTAGTCGTAGATTCGATCCCGCTATGCACCAATGAACTTTCTGCCTTAGACCCAAAAAAATATAACTATACTTGTCTATTAGAAATGATAACGAAACAGATACAGAAATCTGAGGCCCAGACCTAAAAGGTTGTGTGCCATTGGTGTATATTCCATACTTAGGTAGGAGGGGTACCGCTTTCGCTCTTATTATTACTACTTACCAAGTTATAACCTGGCGGTTGACTTACAATGTTTAACAAAAATGTATGAGATATAGCGGTGTTATATTAACTTAATTTTGTAGAGAAATTATGTTACGCTCGTAAAGAGGGTATAAATTGCTTCTAGCTACTAAAGGAAAACTTTGAAAATTTGTTGAAGTGAACTTTGATCATGCATAACTAACAAGTTATTGCGGGATTTATTTTCTAAAATTTGTTTTAGAATGCTCTACAAACTATACGTACCTAAGTATATAACTTAGATTAAAATATGCATTTTAAACTACGTTATAAGCCCTGAAAGTTTAGAGGCTTTACCGACGATGCATCCCTGGGGTCGTAGGTTCCATCCCCGGCTGTGCACCAATGCCTAAGACGCATTTTACATTCGCTCGACGTGAAGGAAAACATCTTGAGGAAACCGGCTTGCCTTAGACCCAAAAATTCGACGGCGTGTTTCACTCACAGGAGACTGATGACATACTTGCCTATTAGGTTGGCAAATCATCAAAATATATACAGAAATCGGAGGTCCAGACCTAAAAAGGTTGAAGTGCCACTAATTTTTTAAGACCATATAAATTGCATCTCGACTATCTTTATATATATAATTCTTCTGTGAGTGTGTATGTCACTGAACTTCTCTCAAACAACTGGACCGATTGTGATGAAATTTTTTGTGTGTGTTCAAGGGGATCTGGGAATGGTTTAGATTTACAAATCAGCCCGGCAGATGGCACTGCAGTCGGTACTTTCATACTTTGCTTAATATCCTAATCGCTTTAAATATCATGCAGGACAACGTCTGTGGGGTCCACTAGTATTAGATAATCCTATGAAAAATGAACTTGAAATCATCGTTATCTTGATGTCGGGACTAATCAAGAAATTTAGAAATAATTTATAAATTAAATTGAGTTAGATGGAAATAAAACAAAATTTAGTTTCGCGCGGTGTGATCACTACTGCCAGTAGGGGGTGCGAGGCGAGCAGCTTGCGAGCGGAGTTCCCTGGCAGCACGGAGGTCCCTTTCCGCACGGGCGTGCTCATTCCTGATAACTCCACCTTCAGCGGCTGCCTCGCGTTCCCTAGATGCCTATTCCCTGGCCATTTGCTCGCGCATGGCATCGTCGAGTGCCAGCGCTGAATAGTGCGCGACCACCTCTTGTCTTGAGCACTGTCTTTCGCGCATTGCGCGGAGCGATCCGTTCCGAATGTAGTAGCTGGAATACTGTCATCAATTCCTAGAACTCCAGCATTGTACGCCCTTTGTTCGCTTCCAGCATAAATCTGTTGAAAAAGACCACTTCAGTACAGGTCAAGATTGCCACATTTAGTTTATTAAATAACTCACTATAGTAATGTGAATTTTGTACAAAAGAATGCTTTTAATACATAGCTAAATGGCAATCAAAGTCATAATAAATGAATCCACTGATATTAAATAAAATTAATCAGACTACTCATTGCATATTATTATGAGATTTCATAAGTTTTGTATTCATTTACAAAAATGTTTTTACTTACACTGGCTCATATACATTATTGGGCTATGGGGCCGGATTGTGTTGTCCGGGTCTGTCATCTTCATCTCACCTTCCGCGTTTAGGTTGTGGTCCTCCATGTGTGACCCACTATGTCGTCGTCGCATGGGAGGCCCTCCGGGTGGTCTCTCATACCACCCGGACCACCTGTTAACAAATTAAAAGCAAGATGTCAACGGCATGGCTTTGTCTCAGGGTATTAAGTAACGAATCTGAACTAAGAGTCTGACTTCCATACGTCATAGATCGCGGCGTTTTTTAATTTAACTGTTATATCCTATGAATTTTCAACATCACCTCAAAATATCATGTCTCATACAATAGATAATCAAATTTGTTCAATTATTCACAAATGCACATTTATGGATTACATGTAAATTCGTGTGAAATACAATGCCTAAACAATGATATGTGTCACACATCAGACTAAACCACATTTAAACATCAAGTTAAAATTTGAGAAATATCAAGAATTTATAATATTTTAAAGATCCTATCCTACTTTGTGGAGGCCCCGGAGAAAGGCCACCGCTATCGCTGCCGCCCACATTGGCCGGTAATTTTTTTTTACAGATAAGAAGGGAATTACATGCAGCTAAGTGCAGGGACCTTGAAGTAAATGAAGCTGTTCAGATGTTGAATAAATTATAGTTTGTTAATTTGTTCTCGTTACTACTTGTTATTTGAAACAACCACTCAATTCTCATTTCCATTTTAATTCATATTTAATACAGTGACAAGCTGAAACAGCCTGAGAAAAAGTTGCTATAATAAAAATATTAATTACAGGTACAGATCTCAAAAGATATAGTAGATAGATACATATAGCCAGCAATATTATGTTTGTCTAAGAGAGGCTTGATACATTCAGTCTATATCAGTGGAAAATAGGTATTGCATAACAAAAATTGCAGCTTGGATGTGAACACTGATTAAAAAACATTTTATATTGACATAATTGTATTTTTATAGATGACAAAATAAATAAAATTTGAAATTAAACAAATTATTATCTAGAACATAGATTTATTGCATTTTTAATAGGTATATCAACTTGGCTTGTGATAAAATGAACTGGAGGCAAAACAGAACTTCCGCACTCACACTTTCGTCCAGCCACAAAATCAAAGGAACCAACTTTACAAGCACAATTTGAGCAATGTAATTTTCCTTTTGTCCATTGTTCCTCTTCAACCTTAATCTTAATCCAATCTGGAAGTCTGTCTTCACTAAGAAATATAAAACTTCTAAGATCATAGCTATCACAATTTGTACTGCATGATTTTGATGTTTCTAAGTTAGGAACTAACACATATCTGCATTTAAAACACTTTACTGGTATCTGTAATCCTTTTGATTCCATGATATGGGATTTTTAAAATTACCAAAACCTACTTAACAAAATTACTGAATTCGATAGCATCAAAGTACTTAGATTATCATTCTAGGTTGCAACTAAATATGAACGCAAATAGCGTTTCTTAGTTATTTCAGAAGTATTAAATAAAATAAGAGGTATTTTATTTGAAATATAAAAAATTATATTGTTGTTATTGTATTTTTTTTTTTTTTTTTTAAATAGCTTCACGCAGAGCGTATTGCCACAGACAAAGGTAAGGAAAACGGAATAGTAAGGAAAAATAATTTTACATTGTAAGAAAATTACATCGGATATAGGATAGGATCAGCAGGTTATAAAACTATCTCTAATACAAAAATACTACATTATAGAAAGGAACAGTAATTAATAAAATATATATCATATAGAATACGATTTGTATACATATGTATTTACAATTTTATATTATTTACAGTAAGAAATAAACATAACTTTTCATATACATTATGATTTAAAGATGAAAGCAGAACAGGAACAGATGTAGGTAACGGGATACTGGAAGAAGGATGAGGATGATCGAATAACATGGAGTGGTTATACCGGGGACAGGACAGAATGATATGATTTAAATCACCAATATTCAGCCCACATTCACACATTTCATTATCAATAATATGAAATCTGGAAAGGTGGGCTGGGGTACACACATGGCCCAATCTCATACGAATGAGAGACGATGTTTCCTTTTTATTAAATTTCATTTTAAAAAACCATGGCTTAAGTGGTATTGTGGGCTGTATAGATGAAAAATATTTACCCTTAATTAAACTGCTCTGAATCCAAAGGTCAGTCCAAGATTGTCGAAGAAAAGAAGCAGGAAGTGAGGCCAAATCATGATAATAATTTTTATACGAGTTAGCATCGCCATCCTTAACAGCTTCATATGCTAGTTGGTCTGCTATGTCGTTACCAAAAATACCAGAATGTCCAGGTATCCAAGCAAATGACACAGACAACCCCAATTGCTTACATTCATACAACAAACCCCTAATCTCAATAATGATAGGAAAAATTAATTTGTTTTTAAATGGATATTCTACTAATGTCTGGGGAACTATTTAAAGATTCAAAGTTAGTTGCAAATAATGGGTAAGTTGGCAAGGTGTGAGTTGGAGCTTGAATATTGATAAATTTATTGAAGCTAACGATAAGACAAGGTGAAGATTTATTTGACCAGTAATTTGAAGATGTCAACAATTGAGACAGTTCTTGAAGCTTAGAACGGAGAGGATGGTTGGCATATTGAAGGGAGCGAAATATGAATTTATCAGATAAATATTGTCGTCTAAGATGTAATGGGGCATCAACACATTCTACTTGTAAAGCATTAATTGGACTAGTTTTCATAGCTCCTGTGATTAATCTTAATGCCTTAGACTGTATATTATCTAATTTTTTAAAACGGGTTGCATTTCCAGGAGATAATAAAAAAGTACCATAGTCTAAAATACTTCGGATTAAAGCATTGTAGATAAGTTTCATACAAAAGGGATGGGCACCCCACCATACACCGGATAAACATCTAAGAATGTTTAGGTTTCGCTCACACCTATTAAAAATGTAGTCACAATGATTTACGCCAGAGAGCTTAGAATCTAAAAACACACCAAGGAACTTCACAGAGTTCTTAACAGGGATAATATTATTACCAAAATACACATTGATTGGAGGAGGGAGTCGCATTCTAGAAAAAAGCATGGCAACACTTTTAGTGGGGGATATTTCAAGGCCATTAGTATCAAGCCAAGTTTTTAATAAATTAAGAGAATGAGACAGTAATGAGCAAGCAATGGCCGGTGATTGATGAATGGAATAAAGTAAAAGGTCATCAGCATACTGAAGAATACAAATACGATTACCCAAAGAAGCTTTCAAATCATGGGTATAAATATTATATAGGATTGGACTTAAGACTGATCCTTGAGGAAGACCTCTCCATAAGGTTCTGGTTACAACAGTAGAGTCTTGTGAAATTAGTGTGATGTGTCTTTCGTGTAAAGTATTTATGATAAAATTTGATAACATTACAGGTACATTCAAATATTGTAGCTTTTTATGGAGAACTGACAACACTACATTGTCATAAGCAGATTGTACATCTAAAAATGTGGCAACAACAGAGTCATTCCTTGAAAATGCTAAAAAAATATCAGTGATAAAGATGGCAATACTGTCCATCGTACTCTTCCCTCGACGGAAACCAAATTGACTGTCACAAAGTAATTTATTGCTTTCTACAAACCATTCAAGACGAGTTTTCACCAAATGTTCACATAGTTTTATCAAGACCGAAGATAATGCAATAGGACGATATGAATTTGCATGAGAGGGATTTTTATTAGGTTTGAGAATTGGTATAATGATCTGGTTTTTCCAGTGTGGAGGGATAGAACCGGTTAACATGAGTGTATTTATCAATTTCAGGAAATATTCAAGAGTTTGGTCACCTAAATGAGAGATGAAGGAATATGGGATTCCATCGTCACCAGGAGCAGAGTCTATAACTGAAGATAGTATTCCTTTAATTTCATACATAGAAAATGGACTATTGAGACCAGAGGGGTTCAATGGCATCAGAGGTATAATTATTATTTCAGGAGCTGTAGTAGGAGCAAGTCTGTCGAGGAATTGATTAGTTAATGAATCAGGGAGAGAACCAGAAGTTTCAGTAAATGCACACCTGAATCTTCTAATATTACGCCATACCAAAGAAGGACGGACATTAGGGGAAATAGAGAGACAAAAAGATTTCCAGCTATCTGCTTTTTTCTTTTTGAATAATAAACTAGTGGCCTTGAAAGCATCTGTAACCAGATCAAAATTTTCAGATGTACAATTCTCACAATATTGGAGCTCAACTTGTTTCCTTTTTTTAATTGCATCCGAACATTCTTGATCCCACCAAGGTGGAGATGGAATAAAGCCCAGAGCACCATTTTTAAGCGGAAAAGTTTTGCCAGCTACTTCTATAAATAATTTAGTTAATGCATCAGCACAAATTGATTCTGAACCATGTGAGATATTAGGAAGGGAAGTCATCTTGTGTTCTATACGGGATTTAAAGGTATCCCAATCAGCATTATTAAGACGATGTTTTAATCTAGGAGATTGCCTAAATGTAAAATTAATATGAAAAGGAAATCTAAGAAGTAAAGGGAAGTGGTCACTACCATATGAAGAAGAAAGTGTAGACCATGAAATAGTGGAAGCTAAACTAGGAGTACAAATGCTTAAATCAGGGACACTTGAGCCTTCATTGGGAGAGGTCCGCCGGGTCACAGAACCATCGTTGAGAAAGCAAAGATTATGAGAGTTTAACAGTTCCATTAATGAAACTCCGTATGTATTGGTTGTTGAACTGCCCCAAGAACTATGTTGACAGTTAAAGTCGCCTAATAAGATAAAAGGCTTAGGAAGAGTAGAAATGATAGAGTCAATTTCCACAAAGATAGAAGAACTAGGATGAGGAATATATATTGAAACATAGCAGATATTATTAACAATAGCAGCAATAATTGAAAAATCATTACTATGAGAAGGAATAGGGAAGTGAGAAAAAGGAAGATGATGTTTGACTAGTAAGGCAACTCCGCCATACCCGTCAATACGATCCTCACGGAGACAGGCATAACCTGAGTACCTACAAGGAGCACCTGGTTTTAACCAGGTTTCCTGTAGAGCGAAGATAAAAGGTTTATATTTATTTATAAGATAAATAATATCACTTTTCTTAGACGAAGCACTTCTACAGTTCCACTGTAGAGCTTTGGCTCGCTTGTCCATTATTAATATAATTTGGTAAGTTAACGATAGTGTCAATTAAAGGAGCAGCGTTGGATGGTGAAAGAATATTAGACTGTGATAAAGTGTTAATGAGAATTTTTATTAGGTCTGCAATTGATTGTAATGTCAAATCATTATTGTTGTTTGAGTTTAATCCACAACCATTTCTGGGTGAGGGCATATCATAATCTTTAATTAATTGTTGTTGTGTATTTCTGTCATAACCTTTGGATAGTTTAGGAATAGATTTTGGTTTAAGAAAAACAGTCTTTTTGTAAGAGTTACTCAAAGACTGTTTATGAGACTGTTCATTTTGAGGAGTAGAAATAGTAGAAGCACCTACATTGGAAGAAGAAAGTAAAGCATCAGCATAAGACATTTTTGAAATAGGTGCATGAATTTTAGATGCTTCAGCGTACGAAATACAGCTCTTGGCCATAGATTCTTTGATGGCTTTTTGGCGATCAAATTCTAAACATCTTTTACTTGTGGCAAAATGGGAACCTTGGCATAAACAACAGTATGCATCTTCCTCTAGGATAGAGCACTGATCAGCTGAATGGTCTTGGCCACACTTGAAACACTTTGGTTTTGATCTACATAATGATTTAACATGACCAAATCTGCAACAATTGTAACACTGTATTGTGGGGAAAATGTAAAGATCAACTGGGAGAGCAGTGTAGCAAATAAAAATTCGTTTAGGTAGTATTTGTCCATCAAATGTAAGAACCACAGTCTCAGTAGGCTTAAACTCACTGCCATTACTAGTAATGATACGCCGTCTCATTCTTCTTACTTTTAAAATTGGACCGCATCCAACAGGTAAATTAATATTTTCCGTAATTTCTTCATCTGACCACTCAGCAGGTATACCTCTTACAACACCCATACGGGTAACAGTAAATGTTGGGATAAAAACCTTATACTCGACTGATTGTAAAGCAGAGTTGTTTAGGAAGGAATTTGCGTCCTGGTAATTATTAAAAGACAGAGACAGTCTATTACGGCCAATTCGTTTTAAGCTTCCGTTAACAATATTGTGTATTGAATTTCTTTTTAAGAAACGACCAAA